AGAAAGACAGTGAGGTACCACCTCACAACGGTCAGAATGGCAATCATTAAAAAATCTACAAGTAACAAATGGGATCCAGCAATCCCACTCCTGGGCATGTATCTGGACAAAACTATATTTCAAAAGGATACATGCACCCCTATGTTCATAGCAGCACTATTCACAATAGCCAAGACATGGAAGCAACCTAAATGTCCACTGATAGGTGAATGGATAAAGAAGATGTGGTACACATATACAATGGAATATTACTCAGCCATAAAAAAGAGGAAATAATGCCATTTGCGGCAACATGGATGGACCTAGAGGTTGTCATACTAAGTGAAGTAAGTTGGAAAGAGAAAGACAAATACCATATGATATCACTTATATGTGGAATCTAAAATATAACACAAATGAACTTACCTACAAAACAGAAACAGACCCACAGACCTGTGGTTGTTAAGGGGGGAGAGGGGGAGGGGGAGGGATGGATTCGGACTTTGGGATTAGCAGATGCAGACTATTATATATAGAATGGATAAATAACAAGGTCCTACTGTAAAGGACAGGGAACTATATTCAATATCCTGTGATAAACTATAATGAAAAAATATAAAAAGGAATATATATATATATATATATACGTATATCTGAATCGCTGCTGTGCGGCAGAAATGAACACAACATTGTAAATCAACTATACTTCAATAAAATAAATCTAAAGAAATTAATTTCGAGAACCACTGCTGTGGAGATTAGAATGAGCTATACGGAGGACTTGTGTGCCACATTTTAGAAGTTCAAGAAATAGCAACTATTTTCTTTCTGTTATTACCCCTGTTATATGGAAGAAACTGAAGCACAGAGCCAGGTGGTGACAACGCTGGAAGGAGCACCTGGGCCTTCTCGGTCAGCCGAGCGGCTGAAGGCGTGGCCCCCTTCTCCACTCTGCACTCTCTGTAGGATGTGGTAGACGGTTCGATAGACCTCAGTTATAAGTGCACATGGCTCTCCCAAACATAATCTAGTAATACTAACCCATCTCCCTGCTGGGGCCAGGTGATAAGAAATAGTCTTTCTCCTGATAAGAACTATTTTAGAAATTCTGAAATCACAAATTGTGATCTGCTTAGAATTACAGTTTTAGAGGTGGAAGTGGTTTACAGATCATCCATTTCAATTTTCACACTGTGCTTTTCAGAGATCAGTGGGACTCCCCCCAGGCTGCACGTTAGAATCTCTTGGGGGACTTAAAAAATTCTAATGGGAACACCCAACCCAAAAGATTTTGCTTTAACTGGTCTAGAATTTAGTTGGTTAAAAGTTCCTTAAGTAGAGTTGCCAGATAAAACATAGGAAACCGTATAAACTTGGACGTCTAGGTAAATACTAAAACATTATTTCATTATTTAGCTGAAATTCTAATTTAACTGGGTATCCTGTAGTTTTGTTTGTTAAATATGGCAACCCAATCGGAGGACTCTAAGGTCTGGCTAGGGTTGAGAAACCCTTGTAGGGTTTCCTCTGAAATACTACAGCTGCCACTATAGTGACCTGGGGAAGCAGGGCACCATCTATGCCCGTTCAAACCTGCTTTTTTTTGGTTAACACTTTTACATTACAAACGTTTTGTAAGTTTTTACATTTACATTACAAAAATTTACATGTATTGTCTGTCTTAAGCATTGGGTCTCTGTAATAGTTTGCTTGCAAAAAAAGTTTTTGTTATGACTAAAAAAGATTTGTAATCCTCTGATCTAATTCAAAATCTTCTTTCTGGGTAAGACCCAGAGACTCTCATAGCTAATTAAATGCAAAACCAAACTTCTCCATCAGAGGCTAATGCTAGGACCCTTTTCCTTTTTTCTGAGCTGTAAGTCAGGAGTAAGAGGTGGTATGATCCTATATCTGAAAGTGCTGGATGAACATCTGGCAAGCCCCTAAAGTTTTGCCAGACACTGTACTCAGCCCAGGTATTAAGGTGTGATTTCAGCTCTCAAGGAGCTGAAACACAAATAGTGTAGCTGTCTCTAGAAAAAAATGCCACCGATTTCTACGGCTTGTTCCCTCCATAATTTGACTGTTCAAAGCACCTTTCTTTGATCTGCAAAATGAGAACCGCGAGGCCGAAGGACTGCACTGGGTTTCCCAGAGGCAAATGGAGTCTAACCTAAATTTCCACTTTGAAAGTTAAAGGAGTGAAGAATATAGGATGACAAATGACACAGGGATGAATCCCTGCCCTCATGCATCTTCCATTCCAGTGATAGACAAGATAACTTCTAAGTTCTCTTCTAACACAAAAGCTCTAGGTTATTAGATATGGGGAGAAAAAGCAGAAAGAGAGAGAGAGAGAGAGAGGTGAGTTTTCTGTTTGTTGTTTTTCAGCGAAGGCCGCAGGACAGATTCAAGTTGAAAGGCAGATTCTGGGAACAGTAACGGCAAATCCAAGGCTGTTCATCACCCGCGTTTCTGTGCTGGTCCTCTGCTCACCTCTCAGGCTCACTGGCACACACAGATCACAACCACTCCCAGCTGGCACCACCTTTATGTTATAAATTTCTCTTGTAAAGCCACATGACCTCTGTTCTGCTAACCGCCTATGGGGAAGACTGGTGGTCACTGCCTTTTTCTGACCCTTTTTTCACTCCCCAACTCCCTCACTAGCTCCAAGCAGAAACTCTCTTCTCCTTTATGCCAACTGAAACTTGATTCTTCACGACTGACCCCGAAAGTCCCTCCAGGGAGAGAGCCTCACTACTTCATGCCTTTTGCTGGGAACCCTGCTGGCTTTCAATCTCAGAGTCATAGACCGTTCATACACCCAGCCCATCGATAAACATTCAGTAAGCCCTTGCCATGTGCCAGAGCTTCAGTGGGAAAGGTCACAGTTCCTGCTGTTAAGGAACAAGCAGGGGAGGCAGATGGGGATAACAGCAATTTGATGGTCATGGTGAGAGGAGGGGATTATGGAATCCCAGGAGAGGGACAGAAGCCTAGATCTAGAGTTCTGACTTTGAGTTGATCCACTCCGTTTGAAATGGGGAAAATAAGTCTTCATCTGACATGGGAAGATAAGACCCTATGATGGCCCATGATGTAAGGTCACTGAGTAGGAGTTGTGACAGCAACAAGCAGGCATGGGCACGGGTGGGGTGTCTATACCATACTTTTGGAAACTCTGGGAACTTATTTCTATGCTGCTGGTATTTTTTTTTTTTTTTTTTTGGCCTCGCCTTTTGGCTTGTAGGAGCTTAGTTCCCTGACCAGGGATCGAACCCAGACCCTGGCAGTGAAAGCACCAAGTCCTAAGCACTGGACCACCAGGGAATACCCTATGCTGCTGGTATTGTTAGTGGCTTTTAACATTTCTAACTTATTCTCTCTACAACCAGACTGTAAGCTCTGTGTGGGCAGGACCGTGCCTCACGCTTCCTCTCTATTGCCCCCAGGACTTAGTGACGATTCATGGTGAGTCCCCGGTCAGTGCTAACTGAGTCTACCCATAAGCATGGCCAAAGGAGAGGTTTCACTCTGCCCAAATGGCCTAGGAGCCTCCTCTTGCACACTTAACTTTCCTTCCTTGCACATCTTCAGGCCTGTAATATGAGTCCTCCAAAAATCAGTCAATAATAGGACAGCACACTCTATGAATCGCCCCAAGGTCCTTAGGAACAAAGGATATTCCTTCACCTGGACATGGGTCATAGGATCCTTTTCTCATTAATTAGGCCCGATGGTGAAGTGACTGACACAGCAAACTCCAGAATGTGGGGATGAAAGGGCCAGGTTGGCCAGGTGGATCACTGTAATGGAAGAAACGGGTATCTTTCCATTTTCCCTCAGTTACCAAACTGTCTGCTTCACAGCTGGTCATAAAGGAAACTGACCGATCTTCTCCTTGCTAGAGTATCTCTTTAATAGAAAACGGACATGGAACAACTGGAGAGTCAAATTGTTTTCAAAAGTTGGATCTGTATGTGAGGACAAAAATACACACTGTCTGGGTACTAGGAAAAAAAGACATGAGTGTTTTTTAAAATTAATACATTTGGAGTGAGCAAAGGCCTGTCTCAAAAGAATGATGAGCTTGACCCTATGCAAATAAAATCTTCTATACTGCAAAGAACACCCTAAGTGATGTTCCAAGCAAATGAACAACTGGGAATGAAATGGACAGTTTGTATCACAAATGAAGGAATCATCTCCCTAAATGTTACGAAGCTCTTAGAAATGGTGTTGGGAACGACTAACAGCCCAGTCAAAAACTGGGCAAGGGTCACTCCCGGATGATTCACAGATTCAGAAATACAATGACATTTAAGTAGATTGAAGCAGCAGTTCTCAGCCTTACACTTCATAAGAGAAATCAAATCCAAACCACACTGGAAATACATTTCTTCTACGTAAGATTGGTGGAGCACAACAGTTTGACCTTGAATTTGTTGGTGAGGATTTGGGGGGACCAGGCATGTCAATCACGGCAGGTGGATGTGAAAACGGCCCAACTCCTCTGACGATGCGTTTACTATGACTCAGAAGTCTAATTCTGGGAACCCATTCCATAGAGGACTAGTTGCATTAACTATGTACCTAGTACATAGCTGTGAGAAAGAAGGAGGAAGACTTTTCCGTACTGACACGGAGCGACCTCCAGGATATGTTGTGAATCGGAGGAAAACAGAACAAGACAAGATGCAGCACGGAATGTACAGTTTGCTTTACTTTATATACAAAGTATTTATTTGCATCTGCTTGGTTTGCACAAAGAAAGACTCGAAGGATGAGCAAGAAACCAGCAAAGATGGTTAACCTATGTGAGGCGTGCGGCACAGAGGTAGGGGAGAGGCTTCTGCGATCCAAACAATAAAATCAAGCTGTGAAAAACGAGACCTGAGGAAAACTCTGAGAAGCTCTCCAAACAGCAGGGACTGCTGGATCCTGAAAGCTGAAGCTTGATGTCCGAGTCACTGTAGGCTTTGTTTACAGCGATAGAACATCAGGCCTGGTGGCGGGGGTGGGGGGTGGGGTGGGGGCTATCCGGAAGACATCCAGCTCGGGATTGGCTGCATGAGGGCAAGACAGATGTTTGCTCAAGATCACTCAGTAAGTTACGGTCCAAGAAGGCACATGCACGCTCCAGGATGGGTATCTGAGCCCTTGTGCACGTCTCAAAGATTTCGTGGGCGCTGTGGTGCAGTGAACGATGCCAGCATAGCTTTAGGTCTTCCCTCAAAATACTGATCCCGCCACCTCTCCTTCTACAGAATCCTCATCAAATTCAGGAAGATACCTGGAGGTTTCTGGCAGAGGGAACATTCCAGGATGAAAAGGGCCAATGTGATATATTATAATTATAGCATAGGATGGGTCAAACAAACCAAGATAAAAGGGAAGTTTTTAAAAAAGTGAAAAGATGAGGGTGGAAGAAAACACTGTTTATGATGCCTCTGGAGGTTCATAAACAAATAAGTAAGCTGATTGGCCGGGAGGCTGGGAGCCAACCACTAACCTTCTCTGCCTGCCCAAGACTGAGAGCCAGCTTGGCCAATACCATGGAAAGGATGCTGTCTCCTTTTCTAATTAAATTCCTTAAAGAGTGTGCTGATTTATTCATTTATAATACAATTCCTGGTCTGAGTATAAATGGAACTTTCCCCCACCTGATCCAGCCTCACCATATCTCTTGGGCCCCATGTAACTGAATCTGGAAACGATGATGCTGAGTGACAGCTTGGGGTATTGCTACTTACTGTGAAAATAAATAATAAGGAAGGAGGAGGCTACTGGGCTTGTTTCAGGGAAGGTTGAATCAGTTCTTTCTTACTTAGACTGAATTTTAACAACAGATAAAGAGAATATGGCGTTTCCCTTAATGAAACTGTATATAAGCCTGGCTAAGTTATGAGGTGGGTTTACCCTTCTGAGGCTGCAGCTTCACATTATTTTGGCCCACGGTTTGCAAGGTCCCTGTGCTCCCCTCCCCTCCTCTGAATACCTCAACCTTAAATTCCAGGATTTGTTCTTTCCCTCAGCATGTTTAACATAATTCCACTCATGCTTATTTAGTGTTCTACGGGTTGGAGGCCTTGTGGCATCAATAATCAAATCTGAACTATTTCACGAGAAGAAGGCAAGGTGGGCCCTGGATGGCAGATGGAACGAAGGCTCAGAAAAGCTAACATTATTGGTCCAGGGTCACAAAGTCTATTCACTAGAACCCGGGTGTCCTAACTCCCAACTATGGGCATGTCCAACACATCAGGCCAAATAGCCCATGACTTGGTTTCTGGGTTCTAAGAAGTTCACAGAGGAGAGCCAGTTGTGTGATTTGCTGAACGAGGCTTGACATTTTCCTGGCAAAATTCCTGGTTGCTGGTTAGGAAGGAACCCTGCTCTTTTCCCTGAGGTCATCTGCTTGGTTGTACAGTACGGATATATTTGTAGGTTTCTGGCTGGTTAAGGAGGGGTGGTTGGGACGGGGGAATATTAGAAATGGTCTCTGTCCTTCTTCTTCAAGTCTGAGAACAAAATATGCAAAATAATTAGAATCCATGCCTCCTTTCTCCCCACACCTCAAAGCTTTGCACATCCCATTCTCTTTTTGCAAACTTTAATAATTACCTCTAGAAAGATATCCCCTGAATACCGAGCTCCTTCTTTTCCCCACTGACCCTATTTCTTCAACAGAGCTCCTTCTACTGACCTAGGCTTTCTATTCCTGAGATTTATGTTACTCTTCTTAGTCTGAACCATTCTGTGGAAGGGTCCTGGCAAGGGGCCCTTTCCAAATGTCACAATGTGCTTTTTAGGCAAGTAGGAAACGCTGAGGTCCCCCAGGGACCCCGAACACCTGCTGACGATGTTTTTCCTTCTTTTAACATCTAACTGCAATTTACCTGCTTCGCTAGAGCAGCGTGAGGATTGACTGTCCTCGGGTAACTTGCAAGTCTGTAAAGGAGTCCCGCCTCCTCTGGCACGTGTTCTCTAAGAGAGACAGAAATGAAACACTAATAAGAGGCTTAATGGGTAGCAGCCTCAAACAATCTGCGGTCTGTGTTAGTACTTCAGACGGTCGCCCTGTCCCTGACACTCAGACAGAGGCACCGGACCAGACGCCACAGGCCATTGTGAGAGGCCCAGACAGAAGCACGGACATCCCTTCCAAAGCCTCTCGGAGGACGTGCATCTTAACCCCCAATCAGGTAGCTGGGCCAGGCCTGATGCACCCGCTGGGCAGGCAGGGGGATGTGGCTGCTGTCATAGTTTGGCACAAATATTTGACAGCTCGTCCCTCCCAACAAACATTTCCGATACGCAGAGGTTAATCTCGTCCCGGCTGCTTCTCAGCCCTGCTGACATCCTGTGCAGGATAAGGCTTTGTTATTAGGGCTGCCCTGTGCGTTATAGGAGGTTTAGCAGCGTCCATGGGCTCTACGTACCAGACAGCAGCCCTCCCTACCACCTGTGAATTGTGACAGCCTGTAATGTGTCCGGACATCACCGAGCGTCCCATGGGGAGCACGGTCAGCCCATTTGAGAGCCACTGAGCTAGATGACCTAGAGTGAACACTGGAGGTATCCCTCGGGTTATGGGTAAGCGCTACACAAAAGTCATTTTCAGACGCGCTTCTGGGGCTGCAGGGTGGCAGGGGCCTTGGAGGTCTAGCAGGTCCTTCTGCGTCCCCTGCATGAGACTGAGGAGACGCACGCATTTTCACAAATGAAATGGCATCCGATTCATTGCTTATTTATTTAGATTCACTGCCCAGCTTTCTTTCAGTCCTGGCAGCCAAAGATTGCTATTTTGCACAGCACTCTGTGTTATTTGCTCTCCCTACCTAGTCCACAACAAGCAAGGATTTGTTCTGTGCTTTGAAATTCTACTTTGCGAGCTCCTGTTTAAATGTCTGGGGCTGTGTTGGAACTTGAGGTGGTAGCACTGGGGGAGCTGTGGTAATGGTGGGGGGGGAGGGGAGAATGTCCATCACAGAGTGACAGACTCTATGGGGGCATCTCTTCCCTCCAAAATGTCTCATTAGGGTCCCCAGACTTAGTCCGCATCTCCTCTGTATCCCGCGGTCCAGTTTAATTGAGCGACGGCCTCACCACGGCACACGGCTCTTTTGATCGGAGGGTAAACTCATTCTGTCCATCGTGACATTTGCTTTCTTAAGGGCCTCACAATATGCAGCTTTAATAATTAATTAAATGCAGGTCACATCGCAGCCTCCCTTTTCAAGCCTGTCTGAGGACACAGCGGGTTCCTTCTGACGGTTAGCTTCTGACCACGTGGTTTTTAGAAGCTAGTGGGGTTTTCTGTTTTGTTTTGTTATTGTGCATAACAAGTGGGGACACTTTTCCCCACTAAAAAAACCCCAAACTTCAGCAGAGTGCAAACCCAATCGGAATAGCTGAAAGGGCTGTGGCTTTTCTGATGGGGAATAAATGGTGACAGAGAGAAATTTGAGAATCTGGCTCCAGTAAGGGCCTCCGAGCAGCCTGCCTGTCACGGTCAGTACTTTCCATTTGTCATGCAGGAAAGTTTAATGCCAGGAGACCCATCCCTTGTGTTTTATTGCATGTATCTATTCCCCTCAAGTTGGGATGGGCTTGTCAATATAAAGCCAATCTTTAAAATGATCTAAATAAGAGAGAAGATCCAGGAAGGACTAAAGAGAACTCTTACCGCTAGTGTCCATTTGAAACTAAAGATTTCTCCAGGGGAACTCAGAATGATTATAACGAGTTTGGATTTAGTTTAACCCAATGCTGATTTGGCATATTACAACGATTTGTCATCTTTAAGCCATGTGCCAGATGAACGCTTTAAAATAGATGCAACTTTGCGTGATTTCTCTACAATATAGCAAAATCTGATTGCTCTATTAATAGCCAAAGTCCTTGGCCTCGGCAAGACAGAGTGGCAGCGTTTTTAAAATTCATCATCTCTGCATAATTAGTTGTGAATCTCAAAATATTCAAGCTGAGGAATTAACCAGGAACTGGAGCCGTTATCCTTCAGTGTCCCTTTTCATAGTGGTCCACAGTCATCATGTCCTTGTATTTTTCTAATTACTGCAAAACCAATTGTTTTTAACTCAGCTGCCCTGGCTCTTTGTAATTTGTTGAATGTAATCACCTTGAAATGAAGAAAACGTACTTCTTGTTCAGGAAACTGGGGCTTTTTTAGAGGAGCAGTTGGCTGTGGGACCGTGGTTCTGGAGCTTTGCTCACTGGACCTGATCAGTGCATTTGAGGGTGAGCGGTCAGAGGAGGGAGGGAGTGTTCTTGAAAGTAAGTTCTAGAGCACAGTGATCTACAGACCCTAGTGGGAAGTCAATTTATGAAAACTAAAAACAAATGAAGTTCCGGTTCCTCACTCCGAGCATGGCCTTAGGCAGTAGAACACAACTGTTTAGGACTCGAGCAGCATCTCTCTCAGATGATGTTTCGAGTCTGGAGGTCTGCTTAGAAGCATCGAGGGAGCAGGGCTATGTCGCTAACCTGCCCTCAAACGCCAGTGTCCAGCACCGGCCTGGACACAGAGTCAGAGCTGAATAAACCAGATGAACTAGAGTAGAGGTCAACTCTCTTCTTTGCTTTTATTCTTTCTGTCAATCTTGTTTATCTACTAACCACTCCAACTTAGAGATTTTCAAAGAACAAATATTGGAAGAGCAAAGGTTCTCAACCATTGTCTCCTTCAGGTCTCAAGGGTGTGATGCATTTTCATCAGTAAGAGTGACTCTCTGTGACAGTAACTCCCAAGTTGGGGCAGAGATTATGAAAATCAGGCCAGGGGACCGGGACCATTTAAAAGAGACAAAACAACACAGAGGAGTCTGATATGCCTCCAGCAGCCCCCATGAAGAATCATCATTAAAGAGGAAGCTGAATTACGTCTGTATCCAGGAGAAAAATTGGAAAAACGGATTCACCAATTTCTCTAGCATAGCCATACAGAGAAGGAGACATGTCCTTATAGAATTTCTCTCTGTAGGTGGCTGCTCTGGGTCTTTCTTTCTCTGGACGAGGAAAGGACCAAATGGATGATGAATGTTGCATGAGGTTAACCAAAGCCTTAACCAGTCCTGTGTTGCATTTTTTTCCAACACTTATGATGTTGTTTACCATTTATTCAACACCTATGATGTGCCAGGCCCTGTGCTAAGTGCTGAACACGAATGAGAAGACAGAGAGCCGGGAAGGCAGGCGTTTCTACAGGGAAAAAGAGAGGTTCGAGCTTGGATTTTGGCCCCTTGAGGTACCTGGCAGGGTAGGTGATGGTGGTGGGCAGCCAGATGGATGAATCAGAAGCTTGGGGGAGCAGCCTTGGTTAGAAATTGCTCATTCACCTTTTGCCAACCAGGTCCAGGGCCTTCAGTCAGGGCTGAGACTCCCTGCCCCGCTCCGTGCAGAGAGCGGGGCTTCATCGCTGCATGTCCACTGGGTCTTCCCTATTCTACATTCTGGCCTCGGTTTGCTCTCTCTCTCTCCTTCCCCTTCCCACCTCTGTCCCTTGCTCCTGCCTTCTCCCAGGCCCCACCTGCAGGAAAGGGGCAGGAGTATTTGTTATGTCTAGCCTGGCAATTTGGAGCGGGCAGCTCCATGGAAACAAAGCCACAGACTCACTCCACCCACCCCTTCACCTGCTGCGCCACCTACCCAGCTGCTAAAACCTGCTCCCACCGCTGCCTCTCTGCTAACACCCTGGCCTTTCTAAACACATTTCAGAGTCACTCTAAAGCAACCAACCATGAAAGGAAAGACGTGTCTTCACTTGAGTGCATTATGAGCCCTTAGGCAGGGTTTTGGAAGGCAGGATTCTTTTGCATAAGAGGTCGAGGCCACTGAGTGTCCATTTCCTAGAAGCCTCGGAGGACAGACTGCCACTGGCAGGTGCCCTCCCCTACCTTAGGGAAATTTCAGGGAACCAGGGAGAGAGGGCGTGTTTCAGAAAGGCCAACTAGCTTGGAGAACATCCATTAAGGCTTTAAGATCTACTGGCACATTCCATCCTGCAGGTTGGGGACCTCTATTACAAAACCTTTTTACTTAAAGAGGGAATGGGCTCGGGGTGGGGGGCTCGGGGCTAGGGGGCAATCTCACTTCGCAGGCACAGGTGACGAAAGCAAGGCAAAATCGTGACTCCAAAGGGGAAAAAATCTCTACTGCACACCCAAGGCATGTACTCCTTTTAGTGTTTTTCTCTTAATTGTTGCTATTTTCTTTTCCTATCAACTTTGCCAACATCCAAAAAGTTACCGGTGCTGCATCGACCCTGAACGTCCCTTCCCAGGCTTGCTGGAAGCCAGCACACACCCACAGGCACGCCAGCCGTCTGCACGCGTTTTCCCTCCCTGGCAGCACTGACATCAGCCAGGGCTGGGGGGTGGCTGGATCGGGCAGGGTGGGCAGATGACAGAGTTCTGGCAACAAGTCCATGTTTAAAGACAGAGGGCAGATGCCTGGCTAGAGGGAAGGCTCTTCTTGCTGGTTGTGCTGCTTCCAGGGTTACTCTGCACCTTATCCCAAGAAGCACCATGTGCACGGAGGCTAAAGCAATAGAATGAAAGAAGCCTGCTCCTCTCAAACAGGGATTTGCTCTGGTTGGAGGGAAGAGGATGAACACAGTGAGGACAGAGAGGAAAAAACCTGAGGCTGAGACTCACTTCAGTTTGCAGGGGGATAGAAAAAAAAGGTAAAGGAGCAAGTTCGCTGTTCACCAGGATCCGTAGCCATCACCGAATGCGTATCCCTTATTGCTCTGCACAAGTCACTTAAACAAGCTGGGTTAAAACTCTGAACCCTAAAGTGATTTCTCTCATACTCAGGTACATCCTCATTCAGAGTCAGACAATTTGTCTTAATCTTGTTTCCTTTTTCAGGATGTTTTCAAACTGCCTTTAGACCGTCCCTCCTTCCCCATCCCCACTTCCTTCCCCCACCCCTGGAACCCCACTACCAGTGTGAGAGACGGGTCT